AGTAGTGGCAGTAGTAGTAGTCGTAGCAATACTGTTACTAGTAGTAGTAACATCAATCGTAGTAGTAGTAGTAGTATTAGTAGTAGTCGTAGTAGTAGTAGTAGTAGTAGTAGTAGTAGTAGTAGTAGTAGAACTAGTAGTAGTAGTAGTAGTAGTAATGGCAATAATCGTAGCAGTGGTAGTAGTAGGCGCAGCAGTCGCATTGGCAGTCGTAGTAGTCGCAAAAATTGCAGTACTGACCGCAGCAGTAGTAGTACTAGTAGTAATCGTACTCGTAGTAGGCGTAGCAGAAGTAGTAGTAGTAGTAGTAGTAGTAGTAGTAGTAGTAGTAGTAGTAGTAAAAGTAGTAGTAGTAGTAGTAGTAGTAGTCGTCGTAGTAGTTGTAGTAGACGTGGTCGTAGTCGCAGCAGTAGTAGTAGCAGTAGTAGGAGCAGTAGTAGTAGTAGTAATCGTATTCGTAGTAGTTGTAGTAGTGGTAGCAGCAGTAGTGGTAGTAACGGTAGTAGTAGTAGCAGTAGTCGCAGTAGTAGTAGTAGTAGTAGTAGTAGTAGTAGTAGTAGTCGTCGGAGTAGTAGTAGTAGTAGTAGTAGTAGAAGTGGTAGTCGCAGTAGTAGTTGTAGTAGTAGTAGTAGTAGGAGTAGCAGTAGTAGTAGTTATCGTGGTAGTGGTGCTGGTAGTGGAAGTGGTACGGTAGTGGTAGTAGTGGCGGTGGTAGTAGTGGTCGTAGTAGTAGTAGTTGTCGTAGTAGTAGTAGTAGTAGTAGTAGTAGCAGTAGTGGTAGTAACGGTAGTAGTAGTAGTAGTAGTAGTAGTAGTAGTAGTAGTAAAAGTAGTAGTAGTAAAAGTAGTAGTAGTAGTAGTAGTAGTAGTAGTAGTAGTAGTAGTAGTCGTAGTCGTAGTCGTAGTCGTAGTCGTAGTCGTAGTCGTAGTCGTAGTCGTAGTCGTAGTCGTAGTCGTAGTCGTAGTCGTAGTCGTAGTCGTAGTCGTAGTCGTAGTCGTAGTCGTAGTCGTAGTCGTAGTCGTAGTCGTCGTGGTAGTAGTAGTAGTAGTAGTAGTAGTAGTAGTAGTAGTGGTAGTAGTAGCCGTCGTTGCCGCCCTCGTAATTCTTTACGCTTCGCGTATCCCCACCAGCCCATCTCACAGCAGCAACTCTTGCGAAGCATGCCGACAGTCGTGTTTTTCAGGCGAGTGTCCGCTTGGCCCCGCATATCTCCCCTGTTCCTCCTTCCTCCCGCCTCCTTGCACATCCTCCTTGTGGGGGGAGCGGGAGAAGGACGAGGCGGAGGAGGAGGGAAAGAAAGCGCTCCTCGTGATTTGAGTCGTTTGGGGTTTCCCGTCCTGGTGTGAGTCGTTCGGGCTCTTCTTCCTGGTGTGGGTCGTTCGGGCTCTTCGTGGTGTGAGTCGTTCGGGCTCTTCGTCCTGGTGTGAGTCGTTCGGGCTCCTCGTGGTGTGAGTCGTTCGGGCGCCTCGTCCTGGTGTGAGTCGTTCGGGCCCCACCTTGTGGTGTGAGTCGTTCGGGCTCTTCGTGGTGTGAGTCGTTCGGGCCCCTCGTCGCCTCGTCCTGGTGTGAGTCGTTCGGACCCCTCCTTGTGGTGTGAGTCGTTCGGGCTCTTCGTGGTGTGAGTCGTTCGGGCCCCTCGTCCTGGTGTGAGTCGTTCGGGC